TGTTCCACTCTTCTCTTGCATGTCATTTTGTAACAAGGAAGTAAGCAGATATTTACTAGATCTCCTTTTTTCAGGCATCAAATTCATTCCAACTACAAAAATGTTTGCAACATAGTTTTGTTTCAGTCAAAACCACAACCTGCTTTGGTCTGCCATTGTCTGACCTAAATAAAGTGCTGACTGTTCTCCTGCAAGATCCAAAACTTAACTTCTACATAACAGCTGTGACGTATATTACAATGGTGTCAATAATTGTATCCTTTAAAACTCATCTTTGATCACAAAAATTACACATTTAAACGTTTTTTCCTTGAAAAAAACTCTTCATGCCTTAAAATACCTTGAATGTATGAATATGCAAATTAGCCCCGCCTCCACTCACTCACCAGCTTAGAGATCCACTCGTTGATGATCTCACGTTGTGTTTATGAGACTGTCTTTTTTCACTGCAGTTTTAAGGAGAACATGCTCAGCAATGGTGTTGCCTTATGAATTTGCACATGGTTTGTCCATATTAAGCATATTAAAAACACCACATATAAACAACATCGAAAGACTTCATCAATCCTTCTTCCAAAACGTGTTTTTGTTTTACCCTGATTTACTATGGTAAGCCTATGGTAAGTGTTTATATTTTAATCCTAGTGGGATGGTGGGAAATTACGTACATACCTCACTCATACCGCACACATGCCCGTGCAATAGGGAAAAGTTGCTCCAGCTACTTTGACACGTGTATGGTGTGGGAGGGAGTGGCATAGATAGGTTTGTAAATTGCCATATAGCTCTCTTAACAGAGTTCATCATGGCATTATTGTGAAGGGTCATTTTACTATGGTATGTTGTAGTGGAATTACGCTAGTCAGCTTGATATCCTTTCCATCGAAACAGGTTATATATCTCATAAGTTATATGAGTTGTAGGATAACCATATTCATCCACACAGTTATGCAGAGCCGAACCACAACCAAAAAATGCATGCATTTTTTTTTCCCCCGCTATAGGACCAGTTGATACAATTTTCAAATATCAATTTTAATGTCTTTGATATTTAAGTTACTTGAAACATTGGACATTTCTGTGACATTTTCTGTTTATTATTTTCAGAGCAGTTCCACTCCCAACACATGTAATGCTCTCTACATGTCTCTTTCAGTCACATGTGAGAGATATCCTGTTCTCCCACTCTCTCTCTCTCTCTCTCTCTCTCTCTCTCTCTCTCTCTCTCTCTCTCTCTCTCTCTCTCTCTCTCTCTCTCTCTCTCTCTCTCTCTCTCTCTCTCTCTCTCTCTCTCTCTCTCTCTCTCTCTCTCTCTCTCTCTCTCTCTCTCTCTCACTCACTCTCTGTCTCTCTACGACTCTGTCTCTCTCTCTTCCTCTCTCATCTGAAAGTACCACTGAGAGTCGAACTGTGAGCTGTCAGTTATCAGTAAATGTGTGTGAGTAATGAATACGTGTCTCTTGAGTGATCTATGTCTGTACTGCTGGATCAGAGATGGCGGGTGTTTTACGAATGCTGTTTGTTGTTTTCTGTCCTTTAATTCTGTCTGAGAGTGGAGATGATGGTAAGTGATTTGAGATTGTAAATAAGAAACTGAGAATGTATAAACTGAAAATTCTGAGATTATTATTACTTTCACTTTTTTTTTTATATGTTCTGATCATTTTTGGGTAAGTTACTCTAAAAAAAAGAAGTAATGAATTACTTGCTACTAGTTACCACTAATTATTACATTTTATCATTTGGTACAATTTTTATGTTAAAATCACTGTTAAATCTATTATTGTTTTATTTAGAATTCTTCTATAGTCTAAGTATTCTAAGTAATTAAATTACAGATAATTATAGTAATGCATTACACCCAACACTGGTTCTGAATGGGAGCGATTATTATAAGCGGTTTAGTCTTCAGTCAAATCACCGCCAAGTGCTCCAGCTTTATAACTGTAAATGTAGCTAGATTGTGTAGAGATTTATAATGATATGTCTTTGGGGGAAAATTCATATGTGAAACGTTTATTTAAGGTACCGGTAGTTTTCATTGAAGCACACTAACAAGGGTGGCTAGAAAAACGTTGGTTTATGTTTTTCTCCTCTCGATTCATTTTAGACTGGCCTGAGAAAGAAGTGACCTGCACATCCACTTTGACCTTCAAACAGAGTAACCTCACCTGTTCGCTAAATGATGAACCCAATGAGGAGGTCAAATTTGCGACACTCTGGTATTTCATTAGACATATTTACTATAAATGGGTGTGGAATATAGGTCAGAAACTGAATATTTAAAAAACGCTTTTTTTACTATAAAGTGTGTTTTAATGTAATGTGAATCAATGTTTGCTCTAAGCTCTGATGATGAACTAGAAATTACATGTTTTTCTTTTCCCGTTTAGCAAAGAAATGGAAATAAAAACTTGTACAAATGCTACTCCAGGACCACAAGACTTTACTTTTGAGAATTTGACGCTACTCATTAATTACAAGCTCAAAGTACACACAGGAGAAGGGGTTATTGTAAAAGACATCGAGCTGAGAAAAATTGGCAAGTCTGTCTGTCTGTCTGTCTGTCTGTCTGTCTGTCTGTCTATCTATCTATCTATCTATCTATCTATCTATCTATCTATCTATCTATCTATCTATCTATCTATCTATCTATCTATCTATCTATCTATCTATCTATCTATCTATCTATCTATCTATCTATCTATCTATCTATCTATCTATCTATCTATCTAATCTGTCTTTGTCCTTGCAGTCAAAATCCCAGCTCCTAGAATAAAGCTTGCCACTTACACGGAAGACACAGAGGAAGTTTCCATTTTGTTTGAACACAGCCATGAATATGTTACCAATCCTGACTTTCAAGTGGAAATCTGGGGGGACAAACTTGCAAACAAGGTGTTTTTCCCAACAATTTGTTTGTTCACTTGACCTTTCTTAAAAATTAAGATGGAATCATTTTGAGTTCATTTAACAAATAAACAACACCCTTTCTTTCTTTACAGCCCATCATGCAGTCTATTGAATATAAGAGCTTAAATATCCACAGGGACAGATTTGGTGGAGATGGTGTTTACTATACACGTGTTAGAGCAAAACCTATCAACTATTTTGACGGCGACTGGAGTGAGTGGAGTTCAACTGCCAATTTCACTATAAAAAGTGAGTGGATCATTGATTAAATGTCAGTTATATGAGAGGTTACATGTGAAATAGGCCAATAGGGTTATGAATGAATGCTGTATACTATTTTAAGTATGATAAACACCTAGGAGGACTTAATCTGAAGGAGCAAAGAACCCTTGTTGGGCTTTTTACGCACATTATTGGGTAGGCGTCTAGGCGAAGAATCAAATAGCTTTAATTGGGATTGAGAAAATGTGGAAAAACACATTTTAATTGTTATTCATCCTGTCTGATTAATTGTGATGATGTAAATTATGACACACGTTCTACATTTACTATCAAAGCAAACAGTACTTCACTATCATCACTTCACATCACCATCGGCTTCTCTGTCTTTCTGGTGCTCATCATCAGTTTGGGGGCCTTGCTATGGAGAACGCAGTGAGTGGTTTTTTTTATTTTATAAATGTATTTTATTGTTGTTTTTTAACTGTACCAAAGTATAAAAGACTGAAATTCTCACCCAGTATAAAAGACTACATCACACCAAACATCCCGCACCCGAAGGCAACTCTTGCACAAATGCACAGGGCAAGAGAGGTAATTCAGTTTGTGTGTATTATTGCTTCACTTGACGTTCTGCGAGATTAAACAACAAGAATGTCCCTCAATGTCCTCATGCAGAATGTTTTGAAATTTTCAGGGTCTTCCTTTCACTTTCAGTCCTGAGATATTCAGCGACGTCTTCATACACTGTGTGGATTACGTTGATGAAAAACCATCTGCTCTGGAGTTTGAGGACGGTCTGGATGAATGCTGCTATAGCCAAACCAGTTCCTTAAATACATCTTTGAGTGAAATGGACATGAATGATGAACGGCTTCCAAGAAAGCAGTCCCACCTGAAAATTAGATTATTAGATGAATCAGATTTGTCAAAAGGAAGAGAAAACAGTGTCCATCAGGGTGAAACGGCCCCTCAACGAGAATGCAAAGACGAAGCCTATGTCACTATGTCCAGCCTCTTCAAAACACAATGAACAATTCTAGTTTACTGGTTATTTTACAGACCCTTGGTAGAGGAAGTTATTCTGCGTACATGATAAAAGGTTAACTAACATTGTATGTGATGCATTTAAAAGCCGAGAAGCCTGTTATGTATAACGAGGCGCTTTTACACGTCACTAGACGTGTCCGGTTTGTAGCTCTGGGCTAACCATGTTTGTACATATCGTAGCAGTCATCCACAGGTTTCATTTTCAACCAAGCATCACGCACAGCTGTGGTCTCCATGGTGGTAGCCAATTCCTTCTGAATGTTTCAGAAACACAGGCATTAAGTGTGAATCATATAAATCCACATTTCTGAACTCATCACACATATACTCCGACCTCATGTAACTGCTGCTAGCCTCAGTGTTCTCTTTATCCATGGATATTTTCATCCGTATATACAGTATATACCTGAGCTGAGAGATTTTTATCCTCTGTTAACCTCACTTAAAAGTAATACATTCAGTTCAAAGGGCACTTTTTCACTGATCAGAGGATTTATTTATAATAATGAGAAGAAATATGTTCTGTGTATATAAAAAAAAGCATCTGCTCGTAATGCTAATTTTGTAATGCATTTTTCATTTTATATATATATATATATAAATATACAGTCTTAAACAGATGTGTAATAAAGGAATGTATAAAAATTATATGAAATATTCCATTGATATTTTACAAAGTTGCTAGATTTGTTCTATAAAGTTGTTCATTTTAGTTCTGATAGAAATTTTTAAAAGCACCATAACAAACCAACAGTCCACATAACCATAGAATATATTTTCACATTTCATGCAAATCATCTCAAGGAACTTTTATAATTAAACATTTATTAAATGAGACACTTTTTGTAAAATAGCATTTGCCAGAACATGCATAACTAAATCTGAAGACTCACAAGACTTCCATATATCACCATATACCACACTGGTTTTAGTTATGATGCAACAAGGTGTTTTACTCTAAAAAAACAAAACAATTAACTTACCAGTAACACAAGCTCACACATTTTACACATAATTCAAGCTTTTACAGTACTTCCATTATTTCATTTTCCAGATTTATTGTTAATATCCTACAAATTTGTGTCAGATTTATTAACCCTAACTTGCTTTGATTTCACAAGCATTATCAATTGGTTTACAAGTATAACCCTTCATAACTTCCATGCATTCTTCATCATTAAAATAAAATACACATCACTATCGATAGAAGCACTGACTCCACTGTAATAGTTCCAGAATTCATCTTTTGTCACCTGTAGATGGAAAAGAAGAAATAATGTGATTAAACAAACTGGTAGCCCTTACATAGACCCAAACTACACCCAGAAGGATAACCCCAACCTGGAAAGATAGCGAGAAATTTCGAAGTGAATTAATAACAGACTTAATTTGTATTTGAGTTTTTGAGTGTTTCTCACATGGGATCAAGCAGGTGCAAAGGCAGCTTTCATTAGCCAAATAAAGAGGATGCACACAATCACAAGACACAAAGTCTTGCAACAATACCACACCACCTGCATTTGTTAGATAGTGTGTGGCTGATTCTGGAACAAAACAATACATGCATTAGTGCAGCTGCTTGTCTGTAGTGAAACACACTCTGTGTGATTAGAAATTGGTTGATTTCTTTGATTACAAGAGGTAGATTCCCAAAACCCCAAAGTTAATAATTTTAAGACACCAAAGGTAAACTTGCCACCTTATTTTAGACTCGACCCTGTCAAAACTGTGCCTGTTGCTTTTAACCTCTGGTTCAATATATACAGTATATGTGGAGTGTGTAGCTTTTCATTTCTTAAAGGGATACTCCACCGTTTGTTCATATTAAACTATGTTATTCCCTTAACTAAGACGAGTTGATACATACCTCTCTCGTCTCAGTGCGTGCACTCAATAGCTCTGGCGCGCGAGACACTTTGATAGCACTTAACTTAGCCCAGTTCATTCATTAGGATCCAAGCAGAGAAGCAACCAAACACCTCCATGTTTTCCCTATTTAAATACAGTTACACGAGTAGTGTAACTCGACCAAGAATGGTGACACAAAATAAAACGTTGCGCTTTTCTAAGCGTGTAAAGTGGATAACTATAATGTATGCCGGAATACCACAGCAAGTGCTTGGGAGCACTTCGACTCGGCGCATATATATCTATGGACTCGGCGCAGTAATATCATCACTCCGGAGAGTGAGAGGGGGGAGAGGACTTTTCACGAGTGATGATATTACTGCGCAGAGTCGAAGTGCTCCCAAGCACTTGCTGTGGTATTCCGCCATACATTATAGTTATCCACTTTACACGCTTAGAAAAGCGCAACGTTTTATTTTTGTCACCATTCTTGGTCGAGTTACACTACTCGTGTAACTGTATTAGTTAACTGTTAATAGGGAAAACGTGGAGGTGTTTGGTCGCTTCTCTGCTTGGATCCTAATGAATGAACTGGGCTAAGTTAAGTGCTATCAAAGGCCCTGTCCCATTTCTCCCCCCTTAAAATTTCCACTTGTTTTGAGTGCCCTCGACAGTAAAGTCCCCTCAACGAGGGAAGTGGGGGTGAAGATCTTTCCCTATGAAATGGGACACCACTATATGCAAATTAGCATAGCAAACGTGCTCACCTACGTCACGTGCAGTGTCGACATGTCTACCAGTAGTAGCCTACTACTATTTTCATTCAGTCATTTTGCCATATTTTTGTGTATTTGATCATTTAGACGCACACGAAACCCAAAGTATGGCTTGCTTGTATAGTTGCAGTCGGTTTCCGAGTGCGCGCCGCTATGGGAACAGTGGCAACGTCTCTTGCGCGGATCATTGTGCTTTTAATGGCTCTTTTGAGATGACAGCTCGCTGTGAAGGGAAAGATGATGCGCTAGACGAACGAGGCTAGTTTTTAATAGTTTTACCTAATTTATCATCATTTTATAATCCTTGGAAGCCAAAATCGAAAATAAAATTAGATTAACTACCCAGATCAGATGTATATTTGATGGGCAGACTCTCTCGAAGCACTCGGCAGATATCATGAACATCGTCAGATAGCTTCGTGAAATATTTTGAAACATTAGTGTTCAAAACTCAACAGTCCATTGGATGTGCATCAAACTAACATATTCCAACATATTTCGAAGTGTTAACATGCTTATTTGCGAAAATATACTTAATTCAATTGTTCCTTCCCAGCGGTGTCCGCCATCTTGTTTGAAAAATTTGGCCGGCTCACTGAGTTCGCAAGGTATCCTGGGTAATTTCATCTCCCACTTCGTTTTAAGCCTGCATCGGACCTCACTATGTTTTGAGGGTTGATTTTAAAGGAGAACTCCGGTCAATTTTAACATTGAGCTCATTTTTTTGTACATTTGGAGTGCTGTCAGTACAGACAAAAACGACAAAAATCAGTGTTGCCTACACCGTGTTATCCTCTTTTTAAAATTCGCACCCTGTTGACTTCAATGGGGCAAGTTCTAAACCTGCTTTTAGCCTCTTAACATCCTTGATTTGTCATTACAAGTGCACAGCCATGTGAGTGGTGTTATTAAGAGTGACCACGGTCAATCTGACTGCAGTAGATGTGAAAGATATTAATAAAAATGATGTTTATTCAGCCAGCTCACATACCTGTATTTACTTCCTGGTTTCGTTCGAAGTCCACAGTAGTCGATTGTCGAGTTCGCGCGCGTGATCGTTAGTTATATTACTTACCAATGATCGCGCGCGCAGCGCGCGAACTCGACAATCGACTACTGTGGACTTCGAACGAAACCAGGAAGTAAATACAGGTATGTGAGCTGGCTGAATTAACATCATTTTTATTAATATCTTTCAGATCTACTGCAGTCAGATTGACCGTGGTCACTCTTAATAACACCATTTACATGGCTGTGCACTTGTAATGACACATTAAGGATGTTAAGAGGCTAAAAGCAGGTTTAGAACTTGCCCCATTGAAGTCAACAGGGTGCGAATTTTAAAAAGAGGATAACACGGTGTAGGCAACACCGATTTTTGTCGTTTTTGTCTGTACTGACAGCACTCCAAATGTACAAAAAAATGAGCTCAATGTTAAAATTGACCGGAGTTCTCCTTTAAGGGAAGAATAGCACTCCCCCTTGCTCCCTAAAGTTTTGGGACACCCTACCCCTACACGAGAACGCGCAAAAAACGAGGGTTAGGGCAAAAATCTAGGGGAAGGGGAGGTATTGAGACAGGCCCAAAGTGTCTCGTGCGCCAGAGCGTTTGAGTGCACACACTGAGACGAGAGAGGTATGTATCAACTCATCTTAGTTAAGGGAATAACATAGTTTAATATGAAAAAACGGTGGAGTATCCCTTTAAGCAATCATGTAGGAAGACACATCATGGCCATATTCCAGGATGACAAAGCCAAGATTTATGAGTCATACAAGATCTTGACCAACAAATTATGCACCTCTGGATGGAAATAACATCACAACATTTATTTCCATCAATAGGTGCATCAATTTTTGGTCAAGATCTTGTATTGACGATGCAAGAGTCAAGCACTCCACACATCCCAATGTCAGGGTTGTGTCACTTCTGTTTAGTCTATTTCGTGCTTTCATGTTGTCATGTTTTGTGTGAACATGAGCTTATGAGTTCTCATTGGCTGCGTGTTCATGTGGAGACGAGGAGGGATATTGAGAAGCACCCCTTGTGTTTTCAGTCCTGTGCTGGTTCGTCGTTGTATGTACACCGTGTGTTTCCCTGCTGTGAGTTCAAGTCCAAGTCCAAGTCCGTCTTGCTTTTCCCCTCGGGGTAGTTTTTGTTTGTATTTTGTTTTATTTTTTATTATTAATAAAGCCCGTTTTCCCTGCAATTGAGTCCTCGCTTCATCCCTCATCCACAACCCTGACACCCAAAGACTTTCAATGAATTTAAGGTCTGGAGTCAAAGGTGCCAATTCATGTGTGAAAATGATTCTTCATGCTCCCTCCCAGCCATTCTTTCACAATATGAGCCTGATGAATCTTGGCTTTGTCATCCTGGAATATGGCCATGGTGTGTCTTCCTACATGGTTGTTTAAGAAATGAAAAGCTACACACTCCATCAATTAGAGTTAGAATAACTATTGCTAAAAATGTATCAACGTCTCATACATCTCATATATATCCAGACTTTTGTCTGCAATGAACATGTTTGACAGGATCAAGACATGTTTTTGCTTAAGGTTGACCATCTTTGTTCTTTACCCTAAAATAGATGCCTCAGAAGTTTAGTCAAGCTTCCATGCATTTTTCATCATTACTATAAAGTAGATATCTGTGTCAATGGATGCGCTCACGCCGGAGTAGTAGTTCAAAAACTCCTCTTTTGTGACCTGATGTATGGAGACATATAGCATGATCAAATAAAACACTGCAGAAATGACTTCTTATGGTGCCACCGATTGAACTGGGTGGTGCTTAAAACAAAAGACAAAGCAATTTTATTCTAAAAGATTGGTCTGTTAAATATTAATACATTACTATGCTGGATACTGTACATTTTAGATGAGACAACTGTATTTTCAGCATCTTCATACCTTCCCATCCTTGTCATCCGGAGAGTCAAAACTGTCCAAGAATTTGCGGAATACTTGGTCTTCGGTCCACTCACCGTTTTGATATTTGGGGTGATGTTTGACATTGTATACACCTCTCAGATCCTCTATTGTAATCAAACCATCTCCGGTCTTATCCAACTTTTTGAATGCCTGTAACACCACCTCCTTTCTGGCGTTAGACATGGCTGGCTGCAATCACAAGAATGAAAATAATAAGCACAACTGCCATTGCACCGGTCAACTAAAAACACATCATCGTTCAATGCGTTTACCCTCAGAGACAAAAGAAACTCATCAAAGTCAATATATCCACTGCCGTCCCTGTCAAAGTGCTGGAAAAGTTTTATAGCGTCCTCTTTCTCGATGAGCACACCGTAGTCACTCAGGCCTTTCAGGAACTCCTTCATGTCCAGTGTGCGACTATTGTCATCATCCATGATCCTAAAAGTCCTGAGAACATCAAACTGTAGTCAGATATCTGCACTTCAGTCTATATGAAGAAACACACCTCGTGCACACTGTACCTGCCAAGTCCCTTGATGCCTGCAGACCCTCGTGCCAAACACTGCAGCCTTAGTCGTTCAATGGGGTCTGAGCAATCTGTCAGCTGCTTCTTGGCATTAATTGCCATCTCTCGGTCATGCCTTGATGTACCTGCCATCCTACACCTATCTGATCTGAAGGTGACAAACTGATTTTTAGGCTTACTTATGTGGGTGCACTCTTAAAAAAAATAAAGGTTCTTCTATCGCAGAGCTGACCCCGTTGGAACCTTTATTTATGAGTGTAGTTGATGCATAATGGACTGTGTGTGTGTGTAGTCCATATAAACTACAAATATTCCGTATAGTCTCTGAATATGACCTCATAAAAACTGCATACATTGTAATTATAATAATATACAATTCTATTATAATACAATAAATTCAGCTTTAGTAACGTTACAGTTTAGTCTATGAGTAACGTTAGGCTAATACTAACTGTATTCGCAGTAAGGAAACAACATGCTCTTAAAATATACTGTAATCCAGCAAACAGTACATCACGACTTTATTCATTCTTAATACTCTATTCACAGCATACTCACATAGAGAAGTGAAACAAAACGATGATTAATGTGCTAAACCACCTGGATTTCCGTAGCGCTGCTTTGGTCTTTCCTGTTTTAGCGTTCACCGTTTCCACGGAGACGAGTTCTTGCATTTGATTGGTCAGTCTTGCTACAGGTGTTTGTTTGACCTTTCGCTGTTGTTCAAGTTTAGTGGTTGCTGTTTAGGGTACAAAAACAACGCGAAACATAATTTTTAATCTGAAATAACAACGGGTATGACTACTCCAGATACCTCAAGCCAAAGTCTTGCTCGTCATAAAAAGGATTTCTGTGCAAGTACCTTCACGTTTAAAGACTCACGCAACAGATTTCGTTATATAAAAGTTAATTTGAAGACAAACATGAACTTTACAATATTGGGATAGAAGCAAATATGATGTAATCAATCATTTATTAATAACTGCAAGATTACCGGTACATGTATGTGTCCATTTGGAATGTTCCACAATTCACTTACACCAAATATACAAATCAACAGATTCCAGCACCAGATTCCAGTTCCAGCCTTCATCATCATACTACATGAGGACTGACCGATGACCATATCAAGATTACACCTCATTGGCAACATAATTAATATCTTCATAAATACACAGTAAATGTGAATACATTTTGCAGTAAACCAAAAGGTATGAATGAAAAAAACAAACAAAAAAAACAATGCCCTTCTTATTTATTTAAACCTAAAGGGCTACGTTTACTAAGAAAATGCATTAATCTGAGATTAAACCATGATGCTTAACATTTGTGGAGAGAATAGACAAATGTTTACAGTGAAATATAACACTAGTTAGAGCTGCTACTGCACTTCCTGTGAGAAACAAGATTAAGACTCCTCAGCATGTGCAGTAGAATATCATATCATGCAAAAATGTACATTTGATTTGCTTGATGACCGTATGCACAAGGAGAATTTCATGTATTTAAAAAAAATGTGATTCCCTCACATCTTGCTATGCATACACTCGTCTTTTTTATAAGCTTATGTTGCTAACCAGATTCCTTCAACATTTGTATACTGACAGTCTGTTTTCTATAAGAAAACTGCACTTGTGATAAAGAGATGCTTATAAGTCTGGAAAACCAGCCCACAAGTACATGTTGTAACCCCGTTTTTTAAACAATCAGAGTGCGTCCTCAAAGCTATTTCAACAGTTTTGCCTATTCTGAATAAGTGACAAAAATGACAATGCTAATTACAAATGGTCTATCTGACATTCATCCACAAGACTAGTGCTAAAATAAGGTCACATAGGTAACTTCATTATAAATGAGATGTACAAGGTCTAAATAATAACAGTTATGTGAAACAAGAAAAGCAGCAGGTTATGTGTCTAAAATCAAAAGAAATAAATTATACAACTTTATGTACCATAAATATATAAAAGAATAGAAATAATGGAAAAAATACTTAAAACTAAATTACACCAGGACTTAATTAAATTATATATATATATATATATATATATATATATATATATATATATATATATATATATATATATATATATATATATATATATGTGAGATGAAAAACAGCTAAATCCTGTCTGTCTGTAGTACCTTTCATGGCTCAGTGTTTCGACTGTTCAACTTTACATTAACTTGGACTCATTTCTTGAAATGGATTAAAGAAACTGAGCAACAAAACAAAAAAACCCATTTGTCACATGCAGCAGTCTGAATGCCTGGCACTTCAAAATGAGTGTGTGCATTTCTCTATGTGGCTGCCAGTTTATCAGGACGCATGCAGATAACTACACTGCATTGCAGGATACAGGAAGTTGAAGATGTTTGAAAAGAGAGGAACAAACCACACCTTAGAGAGTGTTTTTAGAGGTAAAATTCATCTTATTTCCCCTAGACAGTGTTTTTGACCAAAAAGAGACATTAAACATCATCAAAGATTCGGCTTCGAGAAGACGACATTGAGAGGTACCTTCCACCAGCATGTCTGTGGGAGAAAGAAACAGACATGTGAGCGCACAAGATAAACCTCGTGACAATAGAGTGCTGTAGGTTCCATCATCCCCAAAGTCAATGGGTTTCTTGAATGGGTTCACACCTGAAAAAGTGTGTGGTTAACACAAGCTCAAGATATTTTTACGTTTTATTCTACGACACAAAATACCTCGGTAATAATGCCTTGTGATTTTTTAAAAGATTTTCCTTGCTGACAAGCAGCTAAATGGAACTACACAGGGCCACTGAATATCAACACACCGAACAGGAAAACTCATCTACTCACTAGTCCACTTTTACAGCTTAGTGAAGACCGTGCTGTAGTTTATAGCCTATGTTTAGCTCTTTACATCTGCCGATTGCATTTAGGTTTATTTGTGAAGATTATCATGATGAACAAAATGTGTGAGAATCATAAACTTTTGTTGGTCACAGAGCTTATTTTTGCCAATAATCCAAAAGCCAATTGAAAAGGGGAACTAGGGTGATGCTAACTTCCGAGTTGGCCAACAAAATTCTGTCATGCCCACAGCCCTCAATAAAACTCGATCTAACCTGCCAGGGTCAGATTGCAAAGGGTCATCAGTAAGTGTCTCAGCATTGAAGTCCAATGGCTCAGCGTCTTGCAACAACTCAATGCTGTCTCGCCCTGACTGGTTGCTGCTACGCGTGTACTTGGCCTCTGTGAAGAAAAAAGAAAAAAGGATGAAATTCAAATTCTTGGAATTCACTTAATAACAAACACCCTATTAGAACACTACAGGACACACGTCTTATTGGGCATTAAACATACGTCGGTTTGTGTTTGAATTTAGGGTTTCGCCGTAGTTGGTTTCCTTCATCTCAGACATGGAGGTTCGGTTTCTGGCAGCAGTATCATCTCGCTGAACATAACGCTCTCTCCATTCCTGTCACAGGGAAACATATATTTACACACTGGGATAATCAGACGCAGTATGAATTATAGAAATAATCTTACTCTTCGTCTGTTTTCCCCATCTTCTATTCTTTGCCGTTTTCTTCTTTCTGTAGAAAAGACAGCAAAATAAGTCACATACATTTCCTTGATTAATGTTGACCGTTCACCGTTTTAACTGTCAATGTTTGTGTCAGTGGTAACTACCCCTCTGACGCACGAGGTTTTCACCACTGCAGATAGTAGAGCTGTAGCAATGAGGAAAAGTGATTCCTGTTTGAATCACCATTTATTTCTGTTTACATCTAACCATAGCAACCACAGGAGACCATTTGACTTTGTTTTTAAACTACCGGTCGAACATTTTGATACGCTTCAAATGACATCTTTCTCATTTTGAAAACCATTTGAAAATAAATTGGGCTTATGTGAATTTCTTAAAAAAATCTTAAGAAACTCCTTTTGAACAGTAGTATATATATATAAATATATAAAGTCAAGTCAAAGTCCGGACTTGAATCCCATTGAACAAATTTGGGATTTAGTGGATTCAACAGTTTTATCAAAAGCAAGTCTTTGGGAACAACTAGAAACTATTTGTATGTCAATAACATCAGAGACAGTGGAAAAGTACTGTACATAAAAACAATGCGAGTAAGAATGCAAGATGTTTTCAAGGCCAAAGGACGGGATTCAAAATATTATGTTTTTTAGTTAGTTATTATTATTATGTGTGAAAGATTATTTAGTTGTTTCAGTTTGTTGTTTTTAACAACTTTTTGACAGATTCCTAAAATATTTGTTCCCTTTCGAACGGTCACTTCGTATTGCGTAGCTATACGCAGTGGGGAAACTCCTTTTCCTCGATTTACTGAAACCTATATGTAAAACGCATTTGCAGCTGCACAGCTAGCACACTGAGCGTCTGGCACGCTCATAGGCTGTGCTGCCGCAACTGCACAACCAATGGCGCGGGCGACTCTGACATACAGCCAATGAGCTAGCTCAACGTCAGAGCCCGTCAAGGGGGTGTGGTTTAGCCTATAAAAGACCCCCGAATTCGCCATTATAGCAGATTTTACTCCTTCAGCGACAGTACACATGTCCCTGAGCTTTTTACTGTGAATTCGCCGTCGAACAAGCCTTTCAGCCTGAGCGAGCTTCTCTTCAGCAGACTTCGCCTGCACGTCGATTGTCTCCTGACGCCGTCTCACCTGTGGCTATCCGGCGACATCCTATATCCTTTATATTATTGTGATTTGTTTCAGAATGCCTCGTTCATCCTGCGCCACGTGCGGAGGCCGTCTGCACGAGGCAGACCAACACGAGAGCTGCATTTCCTGCTTGGGTGTCGACCACGCGGAGAATGCACTCTCTGCCGGCGGATGTGCGGCCTGCGACTGCATGCCTATCTCCGTGCTGCGCAATCGGCTAGCTCTCTCTCGAGACGGCGATGCCGCTTCAACCACGCTTTCCATTCCGAGGAAGAAGAAGCGTCAACCGGAGGGTATGGAGATTTGTGAACGCACGCCGGCCGCGTCCCCGCGTGCTTCACTTTCTCCGACTCAAACGCCATCACCGGTCCTGTTCACAGGAGACCAACGCCCCCCCCCCCACACGTGGCGGGCCTCGTCTCCTTCGGCGGATCTCTCGAGCGCGACGACAGCATATCCATCGCCGCTTCTGAGGACGAATGGCCGGGCTCTCTCGACCCCGTCACCGCTTCTCAATCCGTGGCCAGTGGATTAGCGACCAGGACGAACTCCGACGCCGAAATGCTTCGGATCCTGACGAAGGCCGTCGCGGACCTCGAGCTAGAGTGGGCCTCGCCCGAGGAGCCGCCTCGTAGTCGACTGGATGGATGGTTTCTGGAGGGGCGCCAGCAGGCCCCGCGTCACAAACCGGCGCCATTTTTCCCCGAGGTCCACGAGGAGCTAACCAAGGCCTGGCGTGCTCCTTACTCAGCACGTGTGGGTTCTGCAGTTTCCGCGACGCTCTCCTCCGTGGATGGCGCAGCGGAAAAGGGTTATGAGTCTTTGCCGCCCCTCGAAGAGGCCGTGGCAGCTCATCTTTGCCCGAGCACTGCAGCTAGCTGGCGAGCTAGAGCCGCTCATCCCAACAAACCCTGCCGAAACACCTCAGCCCTCGCTGGACGCGCGTACTCCGCCTCCGGTCAGGCTGCATCGGCCCTGCACACGATGGCCGTGTTGCAGGTCTACCAGGCCAAACTCCTCCGGTCCATGGACGAGTCTGGCCCGGACCCGGAGACCTTTCGAGACCTGAGGAGTGCTACAGACTTAGCGCTGCGTGCTACTAAGGCTACAGCACAGGCCATCGGAAGAAACATGGCGAGCTTGGTTGTGCTCGAGCGCCATCTTTGGCTTAACCTCACTGAGATCAAGGACGCCGACAGAACGAGGTTTCTCGACGCCCCGGTGTCCAGCTCCGGTCTCTTCGGCCCGGCGGTGAAAGGATTCTCGGAGAGGTACACAGAGGCACAGAAAGCGTCCCAGGTCATGCGACACTTCTTGCCGAAACGGTCGAGCTCCGCGACCAGCAAGCCCAAGCCGCCGCCTTCGCCTCATCCAGCCAAGCCGGTGAAACAGGCCTCTCAGTCCCGCCCTGCGGCTGATAGCCAACGCCAGCTAAGGCCCGCGAAGCGCTACCCGCTCCCCAGGCGTCAAGGCCCTCGACCCAGCGCCGCGGCCGACCAGGTGCCTCCGAAGTCGTCCTAGCACGGAGAGGAAAGAGAGAGGGCTCGTGTCTCGCGCTAGCCGGACCACCCTCGAAAAAGCTGGCAAAACTTCCCACAGCTCCCTGTTCAGTTCAGGCGGCTGGGGATTTTATTATTGTAAACAGGCCCGCAGCAGTGAGCGCGTCTTTGCAAACAAACGCCGTTTTCACGGCGACCCAAATAAAGCACAAAAAGAGTATGTTTCACAATCACATCACACGGGTTCACGGTCCCCCTTCACTAGGCGGCCCCCGCCCTGTTGTAAGACTGAAATCCCCCCGGACAAAGGCCGGTATAATCAGTCAAACACTCAGTATGTGCACAAATCACAGTGTAAGGGTATCAGGTCCCCCTATGTTAGGCGGTCCCCCCCATTCAGTGTGTCAAGCCCTAGCCACACGGGTGATGGCCTGGCAAGCCATCCCCGGTGTGTCGAGTTGGGTCATAAACACTATAAAGCGAGGCTACTCGCTCCAATTCGCTCGCAGGCCCCCGAAATTCCAGGCGGTTATCGAGACATCGGTGAGAAGCGGCGTGGGTCACGTGCTTCGCACCGAAGTTCAGAATTTATTAGCAAAAGGAGCGATAGAGTCAGTCCCTCCCGCGCTAATGTATTCGGGGTTTTACAGCCGCTATTTTCTAATTCCAAAGAAAGACGGCGGGCTCAGACCCATACTAGATCTGAGACGTTTGAACAGGGCTCTCATGAGACGGCCGTTCAGAATGTTAACACTCAAACAAATTCTCGCGCAAGTTCGCCCGGGGGATTGGTTTGTTTCAATGGATCTGAAAGATGCATACTTTCATATTCAGATCGACCCTCGTCACAGGCCATTCTTGAGATTCGCCTTCGAGGGGAGGGCATATCAATACACCGTTCTGCCGTTCGGTCTGTGTCTGGCACCCCGTACATTCACGAAATGTATGGATGCAGCGCTTTCCCCGCTAAAAAGCCAGGGTGTGCGTGTGCTGAATTATCTCGACGACTGGCTGGTGCTAGCGCAGTCGAGAGACGAACTAATAGTTCACAGGGATTTGATTCTCGGCCATTTAAAATGCCTGGGTCTCACAATCAATGTTGCCAAAAGCGAACTGAACCCCAGCCAGACTGTGGTCTTTCTGGGAACGGTTTCAGACTCGGTGACAATGAAAGCGCGGCTCACTCAGGAGCGCGCGCTCTCTGTGCAGACACTGGCAGCCGCATTCAGGGCGCGCGAGCACGCGCCTCTGAAGAGGTTTCAGAAACTGCTTGGTCTAATGGCAGCCGCATCATCAGTACTCCACATGGGATTACTGCGCATGCGCCCGCTGCAGCACTGGCTGAAACGCCGTGTGCCAACCCATGCATGGCAGTCAGGCAGCCTGCGCATTATGGTGAATCACGGGTGTTTAAGAGCACTGATTCCCTGGCGGGCTCAGGACTGGTACCACAAGGGGGTGACCATGGGGGTAGTTTCCAGGAGGAAGGTGGTTTTTACAGACGCATCCAACCTGGGTTGGGGAGCGCTGCACGAGGGCAAGCCTGCCTCCGGCCTCTGGTCGAGCACGGAGCAGAACTTACATATCAACTGTCTGGAAATGAAAGCAGTTGGTTTGGCCCTGAAAGCATTTCTGTTAAACCTCAGGGGTCACCATGTCCTGGTCCGTACGGACAACATGTCAGTGGTGGCCTACATAAATCGCCAGGGTGGCATCAGGTCGGGCAACCTGTATGCTATGGCGAGGGACCTCCTCCTATGGGCACAGGCCAACCTGAGCTCCCTGAGAGCAGCGCACATCCCGGGCGTCCAAAATCTGGGCGCGGATATGCTCTCACGGGGCAACACTCCCCTAAGCGAGTGGTCTCTGAACCCTCAGACGGTCAGTCTGATATGGGAGAGATTCGGCGAGGCCGAAATCGACCTTTTCGCCTCGAGAGCCAACACCCACTGCAGGGTGTTTTTCTCGAAGAACAGGGACGCGCTGGCCCATCCCTGGCCCAACCGCCCCCTTTATGCTTTCCCCCCCATCTCGATGGTCCCACAAGTCATCGAACGGGTCAGGGAGAGCGGATGCCCAGTCCTTCTGGTGGCTCCTCTCTGGAAATCCAGACCATGGTTTCCGGAGCTGGTTCAGCTGTCAGACACGGTCCCCTGGCCCGTTCCAATGAGGAGGGACCTCCTCACACAGGCCAAAGGGACGATATGGCACCCCCGACCCGATTTATGGGCCCTCCATGTGTGGCCCCTAAACGGGTACCCGGGGGCCTTCCTGACAAGGTCTTAGGCACTATCTCTGAAGCAAGGGCCCCGTCTACTAGGCGTCTGTATGCTTTGAAGTGGTCGGGTTTTTCCAGCTGGTGCTCGAAAAATCGAGTTGACCCAGAGTCATGTGAGGTATCGGTGGTACTCTCCTTCCTGCAGGAGCTACTGGACGCGGGCCGCACCCCGTCCACGCTCAAAGTTTATGTGGCAGCCATCGCAGCGCATCATGCGTTGGTGGCTGGTCAATCACTGGGAAGAAATGACCTGGTAGTAAGATTTCTGAAGGGCGCTAGGAGAATTAACCCCTCCAGGCCCCCATCAGTACCTCCCTGGGACCTCTCCACGGTCCTCAGGGCCCTGAAGGGGCCGCCTTTTGAACCGCTCCGGTCGGTGGGTCTAAAACCACTCTCGCTCAAGACTGCTCTCCTGTTGGCATTGGCATCTATCAAGCGAGTGGGAGATCTGCAGGCCCTTTCTGTGAGTCCGGCATGTTTGGAGTTTGGAGCGGATGACTCCAGAGTCATTCTCAAACCCAGGCATGGTTACGTACCCAAGGTGCTCTCAACGCCGTTTAGAGCGCAAGTTATCACGCTATTAGCCCTTCCCCCTTCTGCCGAGGATGGGGAGGTTAATCTTCTCTGCCCTGTCAGGGCGCTGAGAGTCTATCTGGAGCGTTCTGCGTCTTTTAGACAGTCAGAACAGCTGTTTGTCTGCTTTGGTGGCCGATCTAAGGGTGGTCCAGTTACCAAACAAAGACTGTCTAGATGGATAGTGGATGCCATTTCTATGGCTTATACTTCAGTGGGTCAGGTTTGCCCTATAGGTGTCAGGGCCCATTCGACTAGAGGCATGGCCTCGTCATGGGCTTGGTCATCTGGGTTTCCCATTCAAGATATTTGTGAGGCGGCCGGCTGGTCCTCGCCTTCCACATTTATGAAGTTCTATAATATGGAGGTGCCTTCCCTGCAGGCGAAGGTTCTTTCAGTATGATTAAGACTCGATGCTGTCTGGTCTTGTCTACAAAAAATTACTGTGCATAATCACATACATACATATATAAAACCCGCTTAGGCTGGTTATGAATTGTACTAATAATCCTGACAGTGTCGGGGTTTGTTAGTATATTCTGTTGGTTGTTACTGACTCTTATATATTATTCAGGCCTGACAGTGTCTGGTCTGTTATATATATATATTCTTATATTGGGTTCTGGCTTGTTCTGTTAGCTCAGGGGGCCTGAGTTGCAGTGCAACCAGTTACTAAGGGTGCGGCGTTTTACAGGGCGTCCCCACTGCGTATAGCTACGCAATACGAAGTGACCGTTCGAAAGGGAACTACTCGGTTACTATCGTAACCTCAGTTCCCTGAGAGAGGGAACGAGTATTGCGTAGCCGGCCGCACTTAGTAACGGGTGAAGTTGTTGCTTCAGTCGTATAAACCTGCTATAATGGCGAATTCGGGGGTCTTTTATAGGCTAAACCACACCCCCTTGACGGGCTCTGACGTTGAGCTAGCTCATTGGCTGTATGTCAGAGTCGCCCGCGCCATTGGTTGTGCAGTTGCGGCAGCACAGCCTATGAGCGTGCCAGACGCTCAGTGTGCTAGCTGTGCAGCTGCAAATGCGTTTTACATATAGGTTTCAGTAAATCGAGGAAAAGGAGTTTCCCCACTGCGTATAGCTACGCAATACTCGTTCCCTCTCTCAGGGAACTGAGGTTACGATAGTAACCGAGTAGTTTTCTCTTTATTATGACAGGTGGTCTAATAAATTGGTTAAAGGGATAGTTCACTTCAAAATGAAAATTCTGTCATCATTTTGTGAAATAAGGGGCAGGATTAAAAAAGCTAATTGCTTCCGCCTGCTCCTTCTTAAACTAATCCTTTTATTTATTTATTTTGTTTTTTTGTTGTTAAATTGATTGTTTGTGCTGTATTTTGTGGTTTTAAAATTTTGTTTTGCTGATTGTTTGAGATAAATAAATAAATAAATATACATACTCACCCTCAAGTTGACTTCCATAGTATTTTTTCTTTCTACTATGGAAGTCAATGGGTCCAGTCAACTGTTTAGTTACTGACATTCTTCAAAATATCTTCCTTTGTGTTCAGCAGAAGAAAGAAATTCATTCAAGGTTTGAAACTACTTGAGGGTGAGTATATGATGACAGAATTTTCATTTTGAAGTGAACTATCCCTTTAAGCACTATATATATATATATAGTGCTTTTTGAAGCTTACAGTTCAAAAGTTTGAGGTCAGTATTTTTATTCCAAGAAGCATATTATAATAATCTCTAATACCAACTGGGACTGAAGTAATGGCTGTTGAAAATTCAGCTTTGCGATTACATGAATAGTTTATGTTTTAAACTATATTAAAATAGAAAACAGATATTTAAAATTTTAATTTAATTTGATCAAATAAATGCAGCCTTGTTAAGCAAAAGAGACTTCTTTCAAAAACATTTTACTCACACCAAACATGCATTCTATATTTACTGTGTATATACTATTGACCTCTGCGCAGGAGTTCTCTGCCTTCATCTATGAGGTCAGAAGTCAATTCGTTCTCTCCCATGAACTGCTGGAAACCCAGGAGGTTCAGACAACGTGTCCCAAGACTGGACAGAAAGTGAAAAAAAAATGTTTTCAATTAAATTAGTCAGAAACTACAACATAACATCTGACACGTAATACCCATTACACATGAAATTCTGTCTGGTAATTCATAGATAATATTAGACACACCTGAAGAATGTAGCAATACAAAGAATGACAATCAGCATGGGGTAATATATGTAGAAGCCGTTGGCAATGAAGGACAGGACCCGCATGGAACCCATGATCTACAACATTAGAGAAGGTTCATTTAATGCTTAATAGTACATTCAGCCTTTGAAGCCTTGTTCTCTAAATTTCATTTAATGGTAAAAGACTTACAGAGGTGTATGCCGTCTGCTCCTTTGCTTGGTGGGATATGGCAGAATCCATGTGAATCAGTCCCAGGAAGTTTAGACAAAGTGGTGGAGTCAAGCGGCAAAAAAGCCTAGTAAACAACACACAGGCTTTGTGCTTTATCAGAGAAAGACTAAAGGCAGAGTTTACTGACAATACAAGTTTAATACACTCAATACTGCTATGCAAAACATACATGCCACTGAACTGCAGGCTGTAGGCATCGGTTTGGTGATGTGAGGCCAGGTAGTAGTAGTTGAAGACTCGGATGCGAAACACAGTGGAGTAGACGCAGGTGCAGAGGAAAAAGATTGTAATGAAGCACGCCATCTACAGGCCAAAAATGACAATATTAGCTTATGTTTCAGCTAATCTCACCAGGTCAGACTATCAGTAAACTCTAAGTTTTGGTGTATTGTAGCCAGGAGTAGGCAACATTGACACAAAGTGAATAAAATAAGTAAAAAATAGATCAAATAAAATCATATATTAAAATAATTTAATTTAACTATTTTATTTAAGAAGAAAAGATAAGTTCAAACTTCTGATGTCTTTACATTTATTTTCTAATATAACAAAGTGTACATATATACTGTATATAGATACATTTTAAATAATTATAAAATTAAAACCTTTGAAAGAAATTAATACTTTTATTCAGACGGGATGCATTAAATTGATCAAAAATGTCAGTAAAGACTTTTATTATGTTACATAAGATTTATATTTCAAATAAATGCTGAAAAATAAATTCAACAAAAATATTAAGCTGAACAACTGTTTTCATCATTGATAATAATGTTTCTAAGCACCAAATCATCATATTAGAATGATTTCTGAAGGATCATGTGACACTAAAAACTGGAGTAATGATGCTAAAAATCACAGGAATAAATTACATTTTAAAAATATATTAAAATAAAAACATTTTAAAATAATTTAAATCGTAATTTTACTATATTGCCTTGGTAAGCATAAGAGAGTTTTATAAAAAAAATATATTAAATCTTACCAACCTCAATCTTTTGAACGGTGATGGACATAATTGAGTTTATTGACGTTACCTCTCCCATCTATATTTTTATCCATTTACTATATTATCTCCCAGCTCTAATCTGCTAAATGTTGCTTAAGGCATGGAGATATAAAAATGTAATAAACATTAACATCTTGACTTTCTCTAAAGTTGCTTTGAAACAATTTGTATTGTGAAAAGAGCTATACAAATACATTTGACTTGACTATTCACTTTTCTTAGATTACAGAGCTCAAGCAGACTCACCTCAATGTACAGGTAGTTGTAATCTCTCTCAGCAAGCTGGATGAACACAGCAAAGAGTGACAGAACGGGACGAGTACTGAAGAAAGTGCACTCAGACCAAACCACAGCCACCGAAAAGAGTGACAGAACCACTGCCAGTATACGGTAAAACCACTGCTTCAGCAAACACTCCCAGTACCACTCTGATGAAGGAAACAAAGGAGTAAAAGCAGGGTCAAAAGTGACACTTGTTTATCTAGATCTATTACCTACCTACTGTGGGAGTATAAATATAGCGTCTGAACCAGCCTACAGGTTCTGGAGGGGCAAAGCTGTGAACGAACTGCCGAGAGGTGCTGGTTTCGTTCTTGGCAACGTCCTCGAGATGTAAAGCCTGTTCCAGCAATATCTGCCACTGAACTCGTGTGCGATTGTGCCGCTGCACTGCGTAGATCACCTGAGAAATCAGCTGTCAGTATTATCCTCGATCAAAATTCAGAAAACACAGAGAGAACACCTGAGCGGTACCTGCTTGTGTAGTTTCGAAAGGCTTCTTTCAGAGGGATATGCGTTTTGTTTATCATCGAAATCCTCATAGTCATCCATGTTCCTGCCCATTTTCTCCTGATATTCAACTGGGCACTAAAAATAAAAAGCAGGTTTCAACTAAAAAGAGTGGCACGGTTACTTCAAATCACATACATAAAAATGCACTGTCGTCCTCTCACCTTTCGGAGAATGGTGTCTACGTTCTTCCTTAATGGATGATTATATTTGATCGATTCATTGATTTTTCTCACTTCCTATGATAAAAATACAAGACACAATATTGGCTGAATGGACTCAGATCTGACATAACCTTTCAAAGACCAGCTCATCCGGACTTATATATTGCAAACGGATGTTTATTTACAGCGTATAAACACACATGGCTTTCACCTCCATGACATCTTCTAGGTTCTCCTCTGAATCGGCCTTCTCTGTCATGAGCTTGGCTGCTTTGAAGTAAGTCTTGATGAGAAGGTGACCCTGGCATGAGGACTCCCAGTACGAGCGGGGGATCTCGACCAGGCCGTAGCCCAACAGCAACACTAGAAGAAACAGACCCCAAGTGTTGGCCGCAGTGATGCCGATGGTTTGCAGCTCATACCTGGTGAAGTCATACAGAAAAGAAGAGTCAGTATGAACAGAACATTGTGAAGAATTTTCTGGGTTGGTTTACAGACCAGGAGAGGTGCCACTGAGGATGCACAGCCACATAGATGAGAAGAGAGCCGAAGATGAAAAGGTATGTGCCATAGTAGATTGCATTCTCAATCAGGGCCGTCTTGATCTTTCCAGTAATGGAGAATCCTCCAGAGCGGGCATATGACTGCATGAATGGCAGAAGGAGCCTTAGAAGAGAAAACACCATTATTAATCACTATTCTTACAGGTAGCACATTCATGAGCAGACATAATACAGCATAGTTATTTATGCATTGTTTAAACCAAAGGTTTTTAAAAGGGAGTGCTCGAGGGCCCAGAAAATCTGTGAATTGTTTTTTGTGAATAGTGCTATGCAAATAAATTTGGAAGAAAACCCCCCCTGAAATTTACAAATAATATTTTCTAATAATAATTATAATTTGATTTTAATTTGGCTCTAATACAATATAAACCAGTTAAAACAGCCAATTTAAAAGTCATCCTTTCTGTTATCACAATTACTATTAGTTAAAATAGGCCTTTATACATGAAAGTAAAAAAAGTATATATTTTGGAGTCCATGGCATCAAAACTTTTTAAAACCCCTGTTTAAACCACACAATAGACTAAGGCTGCACACAAATGTTATGATTATATATCAATATGACTGTTATTATTACTAAAACATTTTGAACAAAATAATAAACATTACTATTATTATTATATTTCACTGTAAAATAAAAATTTGAAATTAAGAAAAAAAAACATTTTTATTTTACAGTACAACTATAAAATTACAATACTAATATTTATGGTTGCCTTAAAGGATTAGTTCCCCCCAAAATTAAAATTATGTCATTAGTTACTCACCCTCATGTCGTTCTAAACCCATAAGGTAAGACTTTCGTTTATCTTCGGAACACATGTGAAGATATTTTTAATGAAATATGAGAGATTTCTGTCCCTCCATTGACAGCTATGCAACTACCACTTTGAGGCCTCAAAACGTTTATAGAGATCGTAAAACTAATCATATGAATCAGGCTGTTTAGTGCATATTTTCTGAAGAGACACGATCGTTTTATATGATGAATTTAGGCTTTTATTGACAAAAATTAATCAGCGAACATAAACAGAAGCTCAACCACATTGCTTTGCAAGAACAAATCTTATTGGTTCTTGAGGAAGCTCAAACGTGCTGCGCAACACGAGAACGAACCTCATTGGTTCTCACATGTCAAGCGAAGAAGCTTGAGCTTCCGTTTACCACAACTGATGTGTGGTGAATGTTTATGTGAATAGAAGATCTGTTCATCAAATAAAGCGATCGTGTCTCTACTCTCTACAGAAAATTTGGACAAAACTGCTCAATTCATATAGATTAAATTTACGATCCCTTTATGAACTTTTTGAAGCGTTAAAGTAGTAGTAGTAGTTATATCTTCATTTGTGTTTCGAAAAGGAACAAAAGTCTTACGGGTTTGGAATGACATGAGGGTGAACTAACCCTTTAATTTCTTAATTTTCAAACATTTAACCATCGAGCTTGTATTTCTGTGGAAAACCAGGAGCCCTTAAATTTTCTCTTTTTTTTGACACGTTGGGAAAAGGGTTGGTGCAATGTTGCATTCCCAAATGTCTGCTCCCAAACAGATGCAGAGATGAGTTTGCAGGGAGCAGCATTTACTGCAAAGCTAGCCGTTCTCTGAGACACTGAAAACAGTAGATCATGAGCTGATTGTGTGTAAATTAACATGAGCGGCACTACACCCTGAAACACGCAGTTCATGTATTTATTTAATTAAGCCTTTGCAATCTAAAAATAGCACTTTGCCAAATAGCTATTTTGTTTTCATTTCAATTACTTTTGCAGCACTACAATAGACTGACTTGAGTAGTAACAGTGACAAATAATTATCAGGAAGATTTAAGATGCCAAGATCTTTAAGATATCAAGTTTAAAAAGGGCAAAGCTTTCTCACCAAGTAAGACACTGTGAGGTCCAATAAACAACCCTCCAGAACACTGGCATGATGCCATCTGGAATGTAGCTCCATGGTTTATAGCACACATGTTCAGTGCTACGGGAAAAGGGACAAAATATGTTCACAAACATGCAGAATAACAGTACAATCAGAATAGGCCTAACTGAATAGCTGTTGAATTTACCTTTTACTGGGTGAGACAGAGGTATTTGGAGTCGTCTGGTTTGAAAGGACAGGGCTCACAGAGGGCGTCTGGGCATGTGCTTCCTGATCAATTAAACACTGTTTGTAGATTGTCTGAAAATCAATTGCACAAGCTGTCTGAGTTGCATCAGGAATTAACAGTGCTGTACACATTTATAGAGCGGGAGCCACACTAACCGTGCTGACATCCAGGGGAAGAATGAAGACGATGAGAAAGCACAAATACCAAGCCAGCAGTGTGCCAAAGAGAACCATGCGCTGCTGCTTCTTAAAGTCGCCATAGCGATGCAGGAGAAAGAGAGCCAGGAAAAAGACAACCACAATCTCTATTCCCAGCGCTGCCCCGCTCATAGTGCAGGCCGCACTTCGCTCACTCTTCCTGGGACTGAGAGCAACTGCAAACAGAGAGAGAGAGAGAGAGAGAGAGAGAGAGAGAGAGAGAGAGAGAGAGAGAGAGAGAGAGAGAGAGAGAGACAAAGACCAAATAACATTGGACAAGAAACAGCTAAAGACCACATAAAATGGAAGTTTGGGAATTTTTTATATTTTAGACAAAAAAAACTTAAACTTCTGAGGGAAAAAAAACTACCCACCACAACAACAAAATCTATGCTGACAGAAGACAGTACAGATCTACATAATATACTGACTAATTATGAAAACTGTATTCTAGCAGATTGTTTACGGTGTTATGATATCTTGCATTATTTCAAATACTTTTGAATGTTAAAGTAATTTAATGGGTTACAGACTTAGACTTATAATTTATTTCAATTGATTGATTCAATTGTTGTTTGACATGAATGGAGTGTTTTATATGATTACAAAACAAATGTGCCTTCATGTGCCTAAAAATATATTTTTGTATAAAACGTACGTGACTGAAGTATTCAAGCTATTCATGGCAGCTGACATGCATCTCAGAGACAGAGACCCTTTTGTTTTTCCTCATTTGAGCATAAAGTGTAATTATCTGTAATTGCTGGATTCAGTCATGCCTAACTAATCTCACTATGCAGACAATCAAGTTTGTTTTCTGGGCGTTATGGGAAGTAGTGATGACAAATTCGACTTATTTCCGCGATTCAGTTCTTTTAGGATAGAATCGGTTCTTTTGGATTCGGATAATCAGGTCGTAAACATTTCTACTACACTAATATTAAGTGATTCAACGAATCATTATAAATGCATCAGACTGATTCAGTTCGATTCGTGAACAACTCACTCAGGGCTGCATTTCCAAGCATCAGTATGCTTTTGGAATGCTTACGATGCTTTTAGAAAACAGAAATCGGTTCATCATCATCATCATCATCATCAAACTTTATGCAAGTCTCAGAGTCCAGGTAAAAAGCAAGACAATACATAAAGAAATGTGTTACAAACGATTCAACCAATTCATCAAAAAGATCCGATTTAAAGAATGATTGATTCACAGATATCGGATATCGCTAGAATAAAAATATAAGTTACGCCTGGTAAACACACAAAGCCTGCTACGTTACTTGCAATTCGTTCCTATACACTTTGTTTTGCGTCAAAGTGTGCTTTAATTGCAAACGATCTGTCAAGCACAATCTCCAGCTGATATTTTCTGGGCAGTGCCGCATGTTTTGTTCTGAATCATGGGATGGCCTTACCTCAGATCTGCTTCAGAGAAATATGTGATGCAATAAGCTACCTTATTTCATTTCATAGACAAATCAAGGTGCGTGATGATAAAATTACCTAGACAAAATCCACATTTCACTGATTTCCAGAAAATCACAAACGTCACGCCTCTGACGCATCTAATGGGCGGCGGCTTATTTTCTTCTAGTTTTACAGGCAAGACGCCATAGATGAATATCGCCAACTACTGTGCATAAGAGCAAATAACACTAAAATGCATTATAAAATAGAATTATCAGCAAAAAGAGCAAAATTACAAGTTCAAAATTAAATCCCATGGATACAGTGTCAGTCCCAGTAACAAGGAAAAAAACTAGGCCTGTGAATTAGATGTTTGTGGGCATTTGTTTATTATTCTCATGAGAAAAATTTAACAATATACTATTTTATCGTTTAGTATCAAAAGTAGTATATTAAAACAAAGGCAATATGCACAAAAGTATATATTGCAGAGATGTAGCTTTCTGGGACATTCTGGGGTCACTTGAACTTTTCACAAGAAAGTAACACAAATAAGCATTGCTTAAAATTAATATTGCCTAAAATTAAAGACTAGGTGCACATTTTGTTAAATATTTTCTAATTACAAATTCAGTGACGTGCCTCAGGGACATGACAAAATGCTTGGTGTACGATAGAAATTATTTTATGACACAAAAAAATATTTAAATACAAGAATTATTTGTGTTCATTATAATAGACATAACAAATAAGTATTGTGAAAAGCTTTTAACATTTCGTTTTGGTGAACCACCACTTTGAAAAGTCTGGGGGACTGAAATGTTCCTAAAATTCCAGGAATGACTCTTCTACAAATGAAATGTATTCAAGCAGCTGAGAGGAAATTAGTACTTTGATTCTGCGAAGGGCAAAGTCAGTCCTGTAGGGGGAGCCCTATGCTTAAAAAATATGCTTAAAAAGACAAGAGACCGCTTCGCTTGAACACAAGGGAATGGAAGAGATGCCTTGCCCTTAAATATACTACTGAATGTTTTTTTGCTTTTGTGTTCATCAAGTAATTTGTTAGGTAAATCATTTTTATTGTCAAGGACCCATAAATATTGTGATCCTTTCCTACCTCGCTGAATAAACAACACTCAGAAGAGGTTCAAGTACAGCTCCCACCTATTTTAATAAGGAAAAAAGCTGAAATCCCCCGAAACTGCATGTCAATGTTAAATGTGACAGGCAGTAATAACATCTGCCTGCAACGGTGCATTTCAAGCTGGTCTAATGCGCATGCGCAGTAAAGAGTAAACAAACGAGCGAGCCACTCTCAAAAAATAGCGATTGGCTCTTTTAACTGGAAGGCGGGACTTTTAGTCCTTCATCAAAATACGATTGGCACTTTAAGCTGCAGGGCGGGACTAAATGTTGAGCGCTACGATTTTCCTCATTCACTCCCATAGGAGTGGAAAGTCTCCACTTTTTGCAGTGTCTCTGATTGGCGACGCAGCTCGTGACGTGAGGTCCACAAGCACGATGCTCGCGTGATACGTTAACTTGTCGGGACACAAAACAAAACAGCACAGTCTTATTTGAGAAAACAAATTGAACAGTTCTTGTCGTGAACTGGTTACTGATATATTTGCGTTGTCACTTTTTGATTTAGGCGTCCTCAAGGTAAGACTTGTAAGATTACTATGATGACCCGTTTTCATGTGAGTTTGAAACAATGTTGTTTAACGCGTGCATATTGTTAATAGATGCATATGCGCGAATTATCATGGCGATATGATGTATTAATGCACGGGGTTTTACCTAGTGGTCCACAATTTTGTCTCTTTGCAATCATGACTCGTTAATGAATGAATTAGCAATAACGTTACACATTCCTTGTGACTTTCGTAAGCGTTACTCTAACTAACGGTATTGTAATGTTTTTAGTCATATGTACTTTTAAAATTATACTAACAATAATTACACGTCTTATGTAGCTCTAATATGCATTCTTGAGATTGACTAAAATGACAGTATATTGTCAAAAGTATGTGGACACCACCATATCAGGTTTGTCCATTCCAGTAACTCCTGTGAAAACAAATCTCAGTGCTACACCATACAATGACATTCCAGAGAATTCTGTGCTTCCAACAGTTTAGGGAGGGTCTTCTGTTCCAGCATGACAATGTCCTTGTCCTTGCACTAAGCTAGGCTCTTGTAGAAATTATTTACCGAGTCTGGTGTTGAAGAACTTGACTGCACAAAGCCCAGACCTAAAACCTTCTGAACACCTTTGAATAGATAATAATTGTGTGCATTAGTAATGTACCATTGAAGTTGTTTGTACTGTTTTTGATTTTCATATATTAGTAATGTTATTTGCAATTCTACAAAAATGTAAATGTGTAGTTCTTTTTCATTGGGGCTCGTCTTTTTTTAGTGATGCATCAAAATATTGGCGACTCAAATTATTTGCCTGAAACAGTCAATTAAAGCGTTTAATTAGCGCTTTTCTGATTATGCATTTTGACTGTGTCATTGCATCCGACCCACTTCATCGTGGCCAAAAATTATGCTAGTGTAGCAATATGGGAAATCTATTCGGCTGAAATATTGAGAGGCGGCCTGATGTTACATTTTTATTTTTTTTAAATGACTGAGAACATGACACCCTGGCCTGAACCGCATAAAGAGATCAAGTCCCCGAATTAAAACTATTTTTTAGTTTTGGTTTCCTGGCTAAACGAAAACTTTATTTACAGTTTCTCTGGTTCTGTGCATCACTGATATATTTTTCTTTAACACCAGGTGACTGCGAGTCGATCCTCCTGGCAGCAATAACGCCAACCCTCATCACAAATGGCTCAACAAGCAGTTGAAAAGCTTCCTGATCCTCCTGAAGAAGTAAGTCAAATGGCAGCTGTGGCCCTCATATTGCAGAATAATGAAAACATTTGCATGTTCAACTTCTTTTCTTCGTTTCTCACAGCTTTTACTACCAGATGGTTGGAAGCATACGCTGCCAAAAGAGCAACATCTCTGGGTCAGTAAGGCTCTCTTTACCAAAGATGCATCTGGGAAGTTGACGCTGACTGAACCTCTGCAGCTGTGGTGGTCACCTCCTGGACCCCAGTTGTTGTATTCAAAGCCTCCTCCTTTTCCTGACCCGTTCTTTCATAGCAGGCTGTTCCTTTGGTTGCCCTGTCGCATGTGGGCATACAGGCTAGTGTGCACGAAGCCCAACTGCCGTCGTCTCGGCAATCATTTGAGGCCTTGTGGGTTGTACAACACCGTCCGGAGGGTTTTGGACATGAGAGGGTGGTATTTCATTGTCACAGAGTACCTGGAGTGCTGTTCTTGCAAGAAGAAGATGGCAGGCTGGTCGCAAGACATTCTGGATCAATTGGATCTCATCCATCGTGAGAAATTCCCAGCAGTCCTGACCTACAGGTAGGCTGAGATGTTTGACAACAATCAAAACATTGTAAGGATGTAAAATGCCCAGGGTTTGATTTTTGTGTGTGTCTTTTGTTCAAAGGCTATCTTGTGATAAAGAGTTTGTTAGACTGATGCAGTCTCAGGCACCAGGGAAGAGTGCAACTGCGATGTACCGGCACCTTTGTGTGCGGCATAAGGAGCAGTGGATGGCTCAGGCCACAGAGTACCTCTCTGTATTGAACAAGTTTCAAGATCTCAGCGCAGTTACTGTCAGGGTGCCACAGATGATTCCAGTGCCTTCTCCATCCTTGCTGTTGACGGTATATGCAAAGGATGCACTGACACGGCTCGGAGAGATGAAGGCCAGGGTCACTTCCATCTACGGCTCCATCCTGAAGGTGGCCTCCACCAAGAAGGTGAGAAGACACAACTAAACTTTATGCATTTATTGCAGTATTTTTGTTAATGACATACACTACCATTCAGAAGTTTTAAAAAGTCTCTTATGCTCACCAAGGCTGCATTTATTTGATCAAAGATACAGTCAAAACAGTAATATTAAATTATAAATTAAAACACATGTTATGTTCTGTTTGTATTTATGGTGGTTTGAAAGACCATTTTCAAGGCAAAATTAAATTTAATGACTCTAAAAATGTCATGTGATCAAGTACAAAATATGGAGAACATACTTAACATACACCTTGAATACATGTGAGCATACACATCTTAATCATTAATAATAAACTATCAATGTTAATAGTTATTCATTAATTAATTAATTAAATGGAAGTAACATTTCCTTGTTATAAAAGCGTCAAATTATCTGATATTTTAAGACTTCATTGACCATGACACTGAGTCATGAGGTTCTGCAGGGATCCTCTCTATGATATTATTTCCTTTTTTGTTGGATCACATAAATATTAATAAGAAGTTTTGTTAAAATATTCATATGGTTTAATTATTTCTAAGATTTAATTCAAACTTTTTCTTAACCATGGTGTCAGGGCAGGTTTTATCATCCTGACATTTTTATCATAATGTCAGAATTAATCATAAAATATATATTTATGGAATATTTATGAATTGTTTTTATAGTATTTCTTTTAAAAATAAATGAATAGATCCAGATAAAAAGAGTGTCATTGACCCATATAACACTGAGATTCATCTTACAGCATTTACCAATTCTTTTCATTCACGTTTAGGTCACTAAGAAACAGAATTCAGCTGTGTGGGCCACAAATGTAGGAAATGAGAATGGGCAGGTCCTAATGTGTGTCCTGACCCAAACAGAGGGAGAGGGCCTGCTTCCCATGTGCTCCGGCTTGATGGAACGTTACCGGCGAGCCGGACAACCTCCTCCGCAGATTCTGTACGTGGGCCAGGACTGTTGTTCCACTACGGGCAAGAGCAAAATGGAAGCCATGTTCCACGAGTGGGACCAGCTGGTTGTCAGGCTGGACGCATGGCAGTTTATGCAACGGTTCGCAGCAGGTGTCACTTCAGAAAGCCACCCGCTGTACGGCCCCTTCATGGGACGTCTCTTCTCCTGTATATTTGAGTGGGATGCTGGAGATTTAAAAACACTGCAAGAAGCCAAGCAACATGAGCTGCAACAATCTAAAGATGCCAAAGTAATCGGGAATCTTACTGCCAAAGAGTTACTAAGCCACTGCCGCCACCAGACACGTGAGGCTCAGGTGACCAAGCAGCTCATTGAACAGTTGTTGAAAGACTTCATGGGTGCTACAGACTTCATGGGCAACAAACTGGTGGACCAAGAGAGGATGGAAGCGATCTGGCGAGCCCAACAATGCCATCTTCTGTGTATTCAGGACCCTCCAGGCGTACAGCTTTACAGGAAGGTCAGAGAGGTGACCAGAGGAGGGCTCTTTCTGCCACTGTACCACTGTGCACGTGGTGTAGGATCCCTTGAATCATTCCATCAGCATCTGAACCACTTCATTCCAGGTTTGCTTATCTCACAAATAATGTGTTATTTCTGTGAATTGTCTCAACTTGGATTCAAATGTTTTTTTAACTGCTTTTTTTTTTTTTTTTTTTTTTTTTAGGTACAAGTACAAATGACCTGTACTTCCATGTTTATCTGATAGAAGGGGTAGTTCAGTGGAACAAGGCCCGATCTGTTGCTGTCAATGAAGGCGGTCCGCTGCAGCAATATGCAAACCGTCTGAGCCAGAAGTTTCTAGGCTACAAACTGGTTGAGGATCACAGTAGCCCAGGAGAGTACACTGGTAATGCATGTTTATATTCACAACTGAAAAACTTTTTTTTTTTTTTTTTTACCATGCCGTATATATTTATAAGATGTTTTAAGAACACAAAGAATAAATTAATTCAAAAAGTGTGAAAATAGTATTTTATTGTGTATATTTGAGATGCATAAAATGCTAGCTGTCAATTTAGTTTATTCCAAAATGTCATTTCTACCAACATCATTTTCACCAAAGAATGCTGTTAAACAGCACAATACATCATTTGAGATGTGCTGGAAATGAAACCGGTGGGAATTTGTATTACTTTCAGACAAAAGATGTACATACACTAAAAGTTTCACCAGCAAATGTTTTCAACATTGATAATAAGAAATGATTCTTGTGCAGCAAATCAACATATAATGATTTCTGAAGGATCATGTGACACTGAAGACTGGAGTAATGATGCTGAAAATTCTGCTTTGCCGACACAGGAATAAATTACATTTGAAAATATATTAAAATGAAAACGGTTATTTTAAATTGTAATAATATTAATTGTATTAATATTAATATTACTGGGTTGTTGTTTTTTTACTGTGTTTTTGATCAAATAAATGCAGCTTTGGGAAGCATTCTTTTAGAAACATCAAAAAAATCTTACCGGCCCCAAACTTTTGAACGCTAGTGTATGTTTCTCATGCTGTATTAGTATTTAGTCAATTTTGTCTTGTTTTTGATTATTTTTTTGATTGCTTAATGACCTATATACTGTTTGCACAGGTGAGCTCATAGGGGTGGAGTATCTTTACTCTCAAACCAACAGAGTGTTGGAATTGGACGACATTATGGATCCTGATGCACCTGATGGAAGTGATGATCAGCTGGAGGTTGACCTGGAATATGAGGATTCAGGCTTTGATAACCTTAAGTCACCAGAGTTCTTGGAGTTCAGCCTCAAACCATTTCAGAATCAGGCAGTGCTTCTGCACTCACTTTCCTCTGGCCTCTCAACATCCCAGCCGGATCCAATAGTGTCTTCCACCTCTGGGCCCATAAAGGATGAGCCTTACGCTGCAGACCAGTTCACACCTCAGGGCATCTCACAGGAGGATGATAATGTAAGTGCTGTTCACTGTTAAAAAATAATAATAATTGCCCTGCCCTCTTGAATCACAGATACTAGTAATGAATTAATGAGTGTTGTCTCAGCTAGCTAGTTGTAAGGATTTGCACATGCAGTTTGAAAACAACAACAACATTTGATTGATTGATTGAATGTTATTCATCTTTTTCTTTTTTATTTCTTTTTTTTTAATTTTCATAAAAATATGTTCATAAAAACACATTCACTTGGCACTGGCTAGTTGGCAAAAAAGTTATTTCCCACCCTGTACAAGGCATATATCTGTCCTCTTAACCCAAGTTTGCCACTTATATTGTCTTGATTTTTAAAATGTATTTTCTACCCTTTGTTTGTGCTCTTTTAAGTGTATTATACTTTTTTCTTTTTTTCTTTTTCAGGAAAAGTGCATGGGACCTGATGGTGTTCCTGGGTATGACCATGTTATTAACCTGGCCAACAGTCTGGTTGAGCTTAGAAATCATGGATTTGTCACACAGCAAAAGGTGGACGAGATTGTCACTCTGTGGGATAAGCTATCAGAGCATGACAAGGGTGGTGTCGTCCACCCGGCTCAGCCCAAAAACAAACTGTGCTTTAACAACAGCCATACTGATACCTTTGTGACTCTGTGCATAGATGGTCTGAAGAGGTATGTGTTCCAGACAAATAAAATATCATGCATTTTTAATCTTTATTGAAAGTTTTTAAAAACACCTTTTGTTCCACAAATCTTCTTCAATGTAAGCCGTCTTGTTGCTGCCATTTGCCTGGCTCTCAGCCACATTCACCCTGCCGGTCAGACCATCGCCGGTGTCAGGGTGAACAGGTGGGCTGCCATCCTCCGAGACTACAACATGATTAGAGACATCGTTCAGGACAGCACTGCCATCTCAACCCGGACACGGATACAGATACAGCTGCTTGAGATAAACCAGAGGACATTGTGCCAGTGGTGAGTCAATAATTGATGACTGTTGACTATAAGTAATGGCGCTTTTCCACTTCATGGTACGGCTCAGTACGGTTCGGCTCGGCATGGTTCGGCTCGCTTCGCTTTTCCACTGCGTGGTACGACTCGGCACGGCACGGTTCGCTTTAGCTCGGTTTGCTTTTCCACTGCATTAGTATCACTTTAAAGTGGGTGGGATTATAGTCTGATCGTTATATAGTTTATCCGCTCCTGAGCAACCAATGAGAGGAACATCTGAACTTCGTCCACTGCATGGCCACGATTCAGCCATTTCTTTTTTGGAACTTTTTTTTCTTTCTTTTTTCTTCAAGCAAGTCAAGCAAGTAGTTTTAAAACAGGTGCTACAGCGGTGGCTGTTACTGGCTATTAAAATCTAGCTGGTTTGATGTCTCGCAAATACAATGACGCTGGTAGTGATGATTCTCAATCAGTGATCTGCAGTCTTTTCGTGTCACATTTTAGTATCGGTACGGTACGCTTGGAACCTCAACAGAGGTGGTACCATTTAAAGCGAGCCGAAGCGACCCGTACCGTACCATGCTGTGGAAAAGCGCCACAAGTGAGCCGTACCGTACCGTACCATGCAGTGGTAAAGCCCCAAAGCGTGCCGTACCGAACCGTTCCGTACCGTACCATGCAGTGGAACAGCGCCATAACATTGCACCTACATGTCAATTAAGGCGTAGCGTAAGCTTAGGTAAGAGTGGACGCCTCTCGCAGATCAAACAAATAGGGCTGGGCAACAAACTCAAGCTCCTCCTTTATTTCTCTTTAAAAATTCTCGTTTTAGACTTCTAATTTGTGACCCGTGTTTTGTTTTGCTCTATCCTCTGTGCTTCCGGATTCGTCAATGCGTCATACGTCGGGTCAGAGGTCACTCCTCCACTGGAACTAGACTCGGACTGAAGCTAGTGATTATAGTTTATAAAGTTATAAACATGGATATTTTTCTTACAACACCCATCGCTTTGCTTCAGAAGGCCTTTATTAACCCCCTGGAGCCGTATGGATTACTTTTATGAAGCATGGAAGGGTTCAAAATCCAAGTTATCATTCACTCCCATTTTAAAGCTTGGAAGGGCCAGGATATTTTTCAATAGAACTCTGTGTTTGGCTAAAAGAAGAAAGTCATAGACACCTAGGATGGCTTCAGAGGGTGAGTTTTGGATTTTCACCCAAAAATGAAAATTATGTCACTATTTACTCACCCTCAAGTTGTTCCAAACCTGTATGAGTTTCTTCCTTCTGTTGAACACAAAAGAAGATACTTTTTAGACTGTTGGTAACCAGACAGTTGATGGACCCCATTGACTTTCATAGTAGGGGAAAAAAACACTATGGAAGCCAATGGGTGCCGTCAACTGTCTGGTTACCAGCCGTCTTCAAAATATATTCTTTTGTTTAACAGAAGAAAGAAACTCATACATGTTTGGAGCAACATGAGGGTGAGTAAATGATCACAAAATGTTCTTTTTTTTAAATGAACTATCCCTTTAAGCAGACATCTATTAACACTCTACTGGTTAACATGTAGGTGCAACGTTATTTATAGTCAACAATGTCTAAATAAGACCATCAAAACAAAGTTTTACCGATTATTAATATGCAGTTGTATATTAAATGTATATACATACAGATGAATTACTGTTTCATCTTTTCTGTACATAGGTACAATGCCAGGAAACAGAGGCAAGAACAGTTGGTTTTGCACCAGTGCATTGACCACATGAAGGCTTCTGAACCCCTACTTCCTGTGCCGCACAACGTTCCAGAGCCCCTTCAACATGGACATGTAGGAGATGTAATTAAAGTGGTAATCGGAGGTCCCATGCCTCCTGATGCCCCACTCTTACGGCTACACCTAGAGCAAAGAGCTGCTGTCACCAGACTCCCTAGTCCAACGGTGCCTAGGACCACCGCTTGGCGGCGGAGGAAGGCAGAGGGCAGAGGGTTACCTCTGAAGCGGCTTTGTGAGCAGTATTTGTGTCAAAAGTGTGGCAAACCAAAGACGAAAGAGTTTGGTCACAGCCAGTTCCGCGGAGTCCACTTTTGTGCCAAAGCCTCTGGAAAGACTGTACAGCAGTGGATGGAGGAGATGAGGAGGGCAAAGTGAGCCAACATAAACATTTTCTGGAAAAATAAATAAATAATATATATATATATATACTAAATATATATTAATATAATGTTTTATTATTTGTAAATTCCATTGTTTTATATATATTTTGTTTTTAAATACTTTTAAAGTGATCTAGGTAATAGCCAATTTTTTTAAATTGTTTTTCACTTACCGGTATGTCATTGAAATGGCAATAAAGGCCTTTTTATTCTCTTCTCTGTGATTTTTTTCTTTTCTTCCATAAAAGGACACATTTAACATAGGGATGGGTATGGTTATACTGCTTATCGATTCGGTACTTTAACAGTATTCTTATCGGTTCTTTTTGTACTTTTGTATAAAAAAATAATAATAATAAAAAAAAATTAAGAACATAATTAACATTGCTTTATAATCTGAAATGTAAAATATCTATAGCAAACAACAAAAACATCTATTTGTAAATGGACCAGTGTAGGGAATTTTTTTTTTATATGCATAAGATAAGATACAATAAGAACAAAAACTAAGAAATAATGTACAAACAAATGGTCAAATAAATATACAATAAAACAAAAAATACAAATAGAATGCAGTGCTTTAATTTCAGGAAGGTCTACTGTTTAGGTAAGTAATATGGGCTACAAAATAAATCTAATCAAATAATCAAATGTAAAATAACACTGCATACTTTTCACTGTATACATGGATAGCCTATATTAATGCTTAAAGCTAAAGTCATTCATTCTAGAACTAAGTAATTTTCTCTTGCCCTTGTTATTTGATTCACAATCACATTAATGGCGCAATCGTATGGAAGCCCATTCCCGCCACATTAAACAAAATTGAAATTATTACATAAGTCATAATTATGAGATAAAAAGTAGAAATTATGACATACTAAATCGAAATGAGACTAAAAAGTCGAAATTATGATAACTAAATAGAAATTATGACTTGATTGATGATGACGCGACCCCACACGGTGAATTGTGAACACATTAAAGAGTAGCATATTCTAAATGTGGTTTCAGCTACTATGATGAAATTCTTGCCTTATAGCTGCCTGAACGCATGGACTAGCTCTGAACAAACACACTTTTTAAAGGATTTAACCAGGAACAAGCTTTGGCGCAGAAAGAACAAAAAGGATGTGGATGTTGAACATATTCTGATGTGTATTTATGATCCTGTAAGGCTGCATGGAACCTTACGCTGCTATTTTGAACCAATGATCGGAACAAAAGGCAGTTGAAGGATGACGTGTATAATTCAAATATTTATCTGACTCCAATATAATTAATCTGGCTCCATTAAAGTTGTTATTCTTTAACCTCTTATTCTTTAAAGGTCTTTCTTAGAACTGATAGGAAAACGTAGGATTTAACCTGAACGTTTAGATAATGAAAGTAATCACTATAGCGTTCAACATCAGTGATAAAAGGAAAGATTCTCAAAGCCTGCAAAGTTATTTATTCAGTTAGCCTACATGTTTAAATAAACAGACAGTAGGCTAGAATGGAACAACATACTGTATAGAAAATTTAGTTGTAACAAATTGCACTGTTGTGCAAACGAGGCCGTAAAAGCCTTTCTCATACGAGGTTACGCACTATTGTGCGGGAGTGGCGGGGTTAAAGCCTTTCTCCCAGATCAACAGTTACCTTTCCTTCTTATACCCTGAGCAAAGCATTGTTAAACATGAGTGGAATACCAACACCAAACCTAACCGACAGGAAAACAAAAGATGAGGCAAATGGTTGGAGATCAAGAGGGGGAGTAGAACAAGGGTTCTCTTACGAGAGGTTCTCTCGTATTGCGTAAGCTAGCTTACGCTGCGGGAAAGATTCATCTTTGCTGAGATATTGAAGGCAAAAAATTATTTCATAATTTGTATCCATTGACAACGTAGTTCCTCTGCGGCAGACCTAGAGCAGGCTAGCTAGCAGCTCATTGGTTCGCTCAGAGAGAACTGCTTAAGCCTATGGGAGAGGGGGGCTGAACCCGCTTCCAATGAGAGGCGCCCGCGCGCTCATTGCGTCATGGCCCGCCAGAATGGGCGTGGCTATGGTGTATATAACAGTCTCTCCCAGGCTTATATGTTGATTCATTTCATCTTCAGCAAGCTGCACGCTTCTGCTGTCCTGAGAAAAGCCGTCGCCGTCGAGAAGGCATCACTCTAGCGAGCTCCCGGACCCTGAAGAAGCCGGCCGTCTTCGCCACCTTCAGCCGCCCTGCAAGCTAGCGCCATCCGACGACTGTATCCTTCTCTTTTCTCTATTTATATCTAAAAGAGCCGAGCGTCTTTTTAAAGATGTCTCGTTTTTCCTGCGGCTCTTGCCGCGCTCGTCTCGAGGACGGAGACCGCCATGTCATCTGCGCTCTCTGCCTGGGACTCGAGCACGCAGAACTCGCCCTCGCGGATGGAGGATGCGACTTCTGTGAGAGCCTGCCGTTGTCGTCCCTGCGGGCACGACTTCTGGCAGCAAAATCCGCTCCCGCGCCGCCTCCCTCTTCGCCGCGTAAGAAGAAACGCCGCTCCCAGAGGCCGCCGGAGCCCCCTGCGGAACCATGCGGGCCGCCGCCGCCGCCGCTTCCCGCTTTCCGCTCTCCCTCCCCGCCCCTGCCGGACATACAGTTGCCGCCGAGTGGCCGCTCTGTCGCTTCCGATGACGCCGCGGAGGAGAAGGACTCCTGTTCACTGCTCGCATCAGACAGTGAAGAATGGTCATCTCTCGGATCCACGAGAGAGTCGGCGGGGATCCGCGCCGGGATAGAGGAGGAACTAATGCGCCTCCTCTCACAGGCCGTCGAACGCCTCGGTCTCGAGTGGTCTCCTCCACCCGAGCAGGCCCCGAACCGGATGGACGGCAGCTTTTTTCATCGGCGCTCGACCCCCGCGTGCAACCGGGCCGCCCCATTCCTGCCTGAACTTCACACAGAGCTGACGAAGTCCTGTAATGCCCCGCTCTCGGCTAGAAACCGCTCCGATATATCCGCCTCGCTGCGCTCGGTGGACGGAGCCGCCGAAAAAGGTTACTCAGCCATGCCGCTCGTTGAGGACTTGGTCGCCGCACACCTCTGCCCGCCCTCTGCTAGATGGCGCTCTTCCCCCACGCTTCCTTCGAAAGCTTGCAGAGCGACCTCGAGCTTTCATGCTCGCGCCTACGCCGCCGCCGGTCAGGCCGCCGCAGCGCTACATTCTATGTCTGTCCTCCAAGTATTACAGAGCGATATTCTCCGTGAGTGGGCCGAAAGCGGTAGAAACCCCTCCCCCGCTGTCACGGATCTGAGAAGTGCTACGGACCTCGCCCTTCGCGCCACTAAAGCCGCCGCACAAGCTCTGGGGAGATGCATGGCCAGCCTTTGTGTTGCCGAGAGACACTTATGGCTCACGCTCGCCGACATGGGAGATTCTGAGTGCGCCGCGTTTCTTAACGCACCCCTCTCCCCGACGGGCCTTTTTGGATCTGCTGTCACGGGAATCGTCGATCGCTTTTCTGAGGTCCAGAAAGCTACTCAGGCGATGAATTTGTTTCTGCCCCGCCGCGCTAGCTCTTCCGCGGGCCGCTCTCGCGAGCCTCCTGCCAGAGCTCCACCACAGCGCCCCCCTCCGCAGACTCAAACAGCCCAGAGCAGACAGGGCGGCCGCCCTCGCTCTCGCTCTGACAGCCGCCGCAGACCGCCGCCCCCACGCGGCCCGCGACCTAAGATCACGCTGAAGCCTGATCATCAGAAGTCTGCCTAGCAAAGTCAAGAAAACGACGGTGCTCTCCCGCTGCGGCCGGACCGCCGTCAAAGCTTCGCCCTCTGCCAGTCCCCGTTGTTTCGCCGACTGCTGTAGTGTTGACCGCCACAAATAAGCCGGTTTCCCAGCCCGCTTGCGAGCGACAAAAAGCCGTTTTTACGGCTACCCAGAGAAATCTCAAAAAGAGAAAATTTGCCATTTGTGTAGAAAATGTGCCCACAATCATGTGCTCACCCATACACACAAGCATAACATATCCCGTGTCTCTATCAGAGCCCCATCACATGAAACGGGCACAGCCCGCTCTAATATCAGAGAACATAAACACGCCCACGAGCTCGTGCGCGTGTCCCCTCTCTGCTCGCTCTGTTTCACGGCCCATAGACTCCTCTCTGAGTGCAAATCCCGTTGCCACACACATTCAAAGCGCGCCCACACACTGTGTCCAGCCCGCTATGTGCAGCAATCAGGGCGATATAGCCATTCGGCCACTAGCCGCATGCTCCAAAGCGTGGGAAGCCATTCCAGGCATTTCCCCGTGGGTACTAAGCATTATAAAGAACGGCTATCTGCTACAGTTTCGCCGCCGCCCGCCTCGTGCGCGCGCGCGGCTCGAATCTACTGTCAGCCCGCTGGCCGCCGGCACGCTCCGCTCAGAAATTGCGACGCTGTTGCAAAAGGGCGCCATAGAGAGAGTCCCACCATCTATGACCGAGTCGGGGTTTTACGGCCGTTATTTTCTGGTTCCCAAGAAAGACGGCGGCCTCAGACCGATTTTAGATCTCAGGTCTTTGAACAAAGTGCTCATGAAGAGACCGTTCAAGATGCTCACTACCAGGAAACTCCTCGCGCAGGTGCGCCAGGGGGACTGGTTCATCTCTCTAGACCTGAAAGACGCCTATTTTCAGATCCAGATAAATCCCCGTCACAGGCCATTCTTACGTTTCGCCTTCGAGGGTCATGTTTATCAATACGCCGTTCTCCCGTTCGGCTTATCCCTGGCGCCCCGCACATTTACGAAGTGCATGGATACGGCGCTCGCCCCCCTGCGGAGCCAGGGGCTGCGCATATTGAATTATCTGGACGACTGGCTGATTTTGGCCCGATCACAGACGGAGCTTCTGTCGCACCGCGCAGTTCTCCTCGACCATCTGAAAACGCTGGGCCTCTCTGTCAACTGGACAAAGAGCTCCCTTAAACCCAGTCAATCGATTTCCTTTCTAGGAATAGATTTGAACTCGGTCACGATGACGGCTCGCCTGTCTACACAGCGCGCGCGCAGTGTACAGCGACTGGCCGCCTCGTTTCAGA